GGGATTAAAAGTGTGTGATGTGTTACTCTTTTAGACTGATTCAATTTCATGTATTCCAGGGTGGCTTTGGACTCACAGAGATCTGTCTACTTCTTAATCCCGAGTCCTAGGATTAAAGGTGTGTAGCACCACCTTCTAGCTTCTGGCATTAAAGGTATGTGCTTGGCTTCTATGACTTGTGGATGATTTTGCTTTCTGAATCCCCAGGCAAGCTTTAATAAATCATAACGTATCACCACAAAGATACAATTAGGAAGCGCTAGAGTAGATTCTGATGGTTTATGGTTCTTGCTCAGATAGCACGGGTCTGGAGCACTAGAGAATACGGTAATTTTGCAGGATGCTCTTGTCTAATAATGTGGACAGTAGCCTTATTATTGCAGAGTAAAACAAATTGAATGGGTTTGTTCCAAAATTTAGAGTTCAGATTGATCAGTGACCAGAGGACTGTCATCCGCATGAGAAAGCTTACTAGCAGTCAAGGCTGCTGAAACAATGAACAGATACTTGAAATACAATTCTTCATGGGGTCCTCCTGCTTGCATGTTGTTACGTGACAAAACTTTCCTAGGGAGACACAACACACACACCTACTCACTCCAGATAGGGATCCCAAGACAGACCAAAGCCAATGAGTTTTATGGGGTTACTTACAGGAATATGTGTGGTATTACTTACAGTAGCAGACATGACTCAAAGCCAGCTGCATCAGCACCCACTCCGGCATGGGTGACAGCTCACAAAGCTGGGGACCTGAAGCTCACTGCACTGACTACAGGCAAGTCAACATGTTGGAGTGTTAGTTCTTGGTGCCTCCCCTGGCATAACTGTTGTCTTTTCTGCAGCGTGGCTTTCCGAGAATCTTCTTTGCAACTTTGTTCCTATTGCTTACTCTGGCAGGGAGGGGACCTAGACAATCTGGTAGGTTTCAGGAACTTCCTAAAGCTATTTTGAATTGTTTACTTTCCTAATTAAGGAGTTTCCCTGAGGGGTGGAATGTTTCAATCTCAGAGGAAACTGTTTCACATCTGTCCAAACCTACAGAATTCTTGGCTACATTGTTGCATGGGAAGGCAAATACAGAGCAGAAAGTGGCAACTGAAGTAGAAATTAAATAATGTAGCCAACAAGTCACAGAACGTGGGTACCCTCCTCCCCAGTGCTGCAGAGAGAGGTAAGGCCTTCCTTTCCTTACAGACCTGATTTCTGTCCTGAAGACCTTTCTCCCTAAGCTCCTTGTTATCATATTTACTTCATCAAACATTTTGAAAATTTGTTACTGTGGAGCATCCACCATTTCCAGATTATCTGATTATGGTTTCCACAATATATAGCAGCAAAATCTTTACATAGAGGAGCTCAGGAAACACATCTTAAATCCAATTGTTTGGGATAAAGCTGTCATCGGCAAAGAAATTACTAGGCTTGCAATTTTGAAAACCAATCAGACTGGAGACAGAGCATATCTACCAGAGCAGTTACACTGCGTTCCTAGTTTCCAGGAGAACCAGTCTGACAACTTCTATGAGAAGGGCAGCACCTACAGGTGTGTCCCCATAATCAGCAGCACCGTGTGCAAGAGAAGATGTCACTGGGGTGTTCTTAGGCCTCTTCCCAAATCCCAAGTAAATCCCAGCCGGATTTAAAAAAAAAAAAAAAAAAAAAAAAAAAAAAAAAGATGACCATGACATACACCTGAAATTAAATGTAAGTTTATAATGGGACCTTGACAACACTACAGACTGGGAAAACCACACTAAGATTTATTCTGAGTGTTACACAGATATGAAACTAAAGGAGCTTTCATAAAATGTCGTTTTTCTGTTTTACTTTTTTTCTTTTAAAGTGGGCCTCAAACTGTGTATCTGAAGATGATCTGAACTTCAGATCCTCCTGCCTCTACTAAAGTTCTTGGGCTTTATTTTATGCAGACTGTATGATAGGGAAGTGTCCTCGTTAGTGGTACTATTGCTGTGATGAAATATGACTAAAAGTAACTTGGGGAGGGAAGGGATTATTTGGGTTACACACACACCACTGTTCATCATCAAAGGAAGTCAAGACAGGAACTCAAAGAGGCAGCTGCTGATGCAGAGGCCATGGAGGGGCGCTGCTTACTGGCTTGCTCCTCATGGCTTGCTCAACCTGCTTTCTTACAGAACCCAGGAGCACCAGCTTTGGGTGGCCCCACCCACAGTGGACTGGGCCCTCCCACATCAGTCACTAATTAAGAAAATGTACAGCCTGATCTTATGGAGGCGTTTCCTCAATGGAGGCTCCCTCCTCACTGATGACTAGTGTGTCAAGGTGACACACAGCTAGCATAGGGAATAACATGGAGAGTGCATGTTACTTCTGCCTCCCATCTGACCTATGCATGATACTGTATTTCAGTTACATTAATTCTTATACACAGGCTTAGAATAAACTTGCTCAATAAGTTCCTGTTGATTAACTCATGTTGTCAAGGAATACTCCCCCACAACACAAGGTTTTTCTGTGTAGCCCTAGCTGCCTTAGAACTTGTTCTGTAGACCAGATTACCTTTGACATCAGAGATCTGCCTGCTCCTGCCTCTGCCTCTCACGTGCTGGGACTAAAGCTATGAGCCATCATCTAGCTGGGGCTACTCAAACTAGGTTGTGAGAACTAAATGGGCCAATTCCAGGTGTTTTATGACCTAAGTGTCCTCAAGTTGGTAGTTTAAATTGTACATCTGCACAAAATTGGGAAATGCTCTCTACTAATCCTTGATTCAGCAAATGTACAACTGAAATATGTTCTAATTACCTTCAGACCAACAACTTAATAAAAGCCCCCCCACCAAAAAAAAAAAAAAAAAAAAAAAAAGGTCAGCAATGTGTCCTCAAAAGGTATTTTGTACCGAGACTGTATGGCCCACTGGACCCCTATCCTTGGAGAAAGTTTACAGATCTCTTATCTCGAAACTCCCTGTCCACACTGCCAATGGTCCTTTATATTCATTATTCTGTCAGGTTAACACCGTGAGGATGGGTAATTAATGATGCCCTACCTTGCCTGAGATGGTTAACTTTGACTGTCAGCCTGATTATATACACCCAAGGCATCAGTGAGGCCCATTCTTGGCTGTACCTACGTTTTGATTAAAGCAATGAAGAAAGCAACTGACATACTAAATACTTCATACACTACGCCACATATGTCTCCTTCTCAGGGACAACATAAGAGCAATGGCTCTAAGGTCTCAAAACAAACTGAGGGAAGGAAGGTGATCCTGGAAAGCCTTATGTAGCAGCCATGAGCCCTCCCCTAAGTGTCTCCAGAGCCTGTTTACCCTAGCTCTTCTTTGGGGCCCGCGTGCATTGAGGGCAGCACAATAAACACTGGTGGTAGGGAATGGCTAGAGGCTCACTGAGGACTCTCCCCACCACTCCAGATGGGGCGTGGCAGTCAAGGCCAGCTAGGGCCAACCTTTCCCAAGAGAAAGCAGCTGAACTCCCCAGGGTGGTGGTTGCTTACCTGATGGGGAGAACAGCCACTCACAACATGCTATTTTAAAGACGTTTAGAAATCAACTTAGGCTGGGTGGTGCTGGTGCACGCCTTTGATCCCAGCACTCAGGAGGCAGGCAGATCTCTGTGAGTTTGAAGCCAGCCTGGTAGTCAGAGCGAGTTCCAGGACAGCCAGGGCTGCAGAGAGAAACCTTCCCCCAAAAACGAAAGAAAAAGAAGAAAGAAAAATCAATATAGACAATTATAAGGCTATCCCATATGTACACAGCTAGAGGTTAGGCCCTAAAGTCAGGGGAATGTAACGTGAGGATAAACAAACGTTGGCAGGCTAAGGTAAGGGAGGTCACTGTAGGCATGAGACAGCCCAGGGAAAAAACACTGGGAAAATAATGCACGAAGGAAAACCTGACCGCAGCAGTGAGCTAATGAAGTTGGGAAGAGGTTTTACTTAAATGTGCACGAGAAAAGTCCAAAATACTTGCTTGCCCGATGGTGGAACTTCCTACCCCAAAAGTAACAATCTTCTCAACACCTAGACATAAGCCTCGTAACCTCTTCCTGTTGCTGAACAATACTGGCAGACATTAAAGTGATACCATGTGATACCTGTATTGCAATTTATACCTTCCAAACTCTGACCCAGATTTCAAAGGGCTCTGCTGAGGAGTGTTTATGCAACAGTAGGTAATCACAGAACAGGGTTCCATGGCCTGAGAGCAAAAAATATGGAATGTGTCTGCACATTTGGGTCACAGTACGCGGTCGGAGCTCACGTTTGTGCAATACCGATTAATACAAAGTGTCGGAATGTATCACAAGTTATCTTTACGAACAAATGGCGCGGGATTCACACCTTGGACCTACACTATGCTGAGAATCGCTTTCGCAGCGATTATCCCTCAAGCCTGGGCGCACGGTGCGGCACAGAACTGTAAAGGCGCACGGCAGCCAGGCCGCACCCCGGGCCACCCCGCGTCTGCCGCACACAGCTCGGCAGGCACACGAGGGATGCCCTAGCTCCCGACCAGACCGGGGAGGACACGGGGGGAGGGGGGCCGCCAGCGGGCCAGGCCGGTTCTAGCAAGTTCGCAGGCCGTGACGTCATCTCCGTGCAGCCCGGCGGGGCCTGGCGGGCGCCGCGGCTGAGCTCTCCCAACGAAGAGCGGGCTGAGTTCCGCTGCCCCGCCGGGCCCAGCGCTGCTGCCTCCGGGCCTCGTCGTCCGCCAGGCGGCCGGCCACGAGAGGAGCGAGCCGGGCGGGCGGGCGGGCGGGCGATGACTCGGCTCCCTCGCCGACGCGCTACCCGGCGTGCCTCGCGCAGCCGGCCGCCATGAGCCTGCGCGGCGGCCAGCGCGTTACCCAGCGTGCCCCGCGCGGCGCCGGCGACGGACGTGGGGGAGGTGCGGGAGGAGGAAGCGGCGGCGACGCCGACAGTGCCCGCGTCCGCCGCGTCCGCACGGCAGCCGGTCGATCGCCCGCCCGCCCCGGCCCGCAGCCGCGCCCCCGCCCCGCCCCGCCCCGCCGCGCCGCCCCGGCCGCAGCCCCCAGGGTCCCGGCCGCAGCCGCCTGAGTCACCGCCATGGCCGAGAGCGCGGAGAGCGGCGGCCCCCCGGGCGCGCAGGGCGGTGCGGCCGACGGCGGCCCCGCGGAGCCCAAGATCATGAAGGTCACGGTGAAGACGCCGAAGGAGAAGGAGGAGTTCGCTGTGCCCGAGGACAGCTCGGTCCAGCAGGTGAGGCCGCGCAGGGCCGGGCCGGGCCGGGCGCTCGGCGCGGTGGGGAGGCCAGGGCCGGGCGGCAGCGGGGCCGGGCGGCAGCGGGGCCGGGCCGGGGTCTGGGCGGCCTGTGCCGCCTGTGCCGCCGAGCTCCGGGCCTCGGGGCCCCGCTCCTGACAAAGGAGCGGCCGGCGGGCGGGCGGGCGGGCGGGCGGGCGGGCGGCTCTCGGCCGGCCTTTGGCCCGGCTGGCTTGGGGGTGGGGTGGGTGGTGTCATTGTTTTACCTGCCTGCCAGTCTGAGAGGTTTGGGGGTGAGGAGCACGTGCAGGCGCAGATCTGGGATTTGAACGCCGAAGTCTTTCCCACCTGGCAGCCTTTTATGCGAAGCGTTATGACGCGGAGGTCGTTTTCAGTCACATTGTTAATAGCTCACGCCTGATGGAGGAGGAGAGTAACCGGCTTGGGTTCACAGGCGACTTGATGTTTGTGTTTGGGTGCACTCGCCATCGCTCAGCTGCCTGTCGCTGGACAGGCTATTGTTTGGTTTTGGGGTGGGGGGACCCGGCTGGGTGTTTAGTGGTCGCAGCCGAACGCCATGGGACAACATTGGTGTTAATGGGAAATCTTACTGGACAAACAGTTGCTTTAAACAACGTTCAGGCAAAACAGATTTTGCAACTCATTAAGAGTCCCGGTAGAATGTATCGCGTTTATCTGTTCAGCACATTCTAGAGCACTCGAATTGTTGACAGTCTGAAACATTGTGAACAGTTTTATGCTAGGACGCAATTAGCAAGCTCTGGAATGTGCGTCTAGGTTCTCTGAACGTTTATCCAGTTCCAAAGGTGAAGTCGGTTTTTGTGAAACAGGAGGGTGTGTGGCGTCAGCTGAAAGTACTGTTGACCCAATCATCATCCTTCGTTGTTAACGCGGCTATAAAAAGTGTGTTTTCCATCATGTGTGTACATCGTGCACAATTGACATTTTCCTGCACTCGCCCTATTATGTGTCTCTTATTCTAAAATACACCTTTAAGTTGTAAATATACCAGTATTGCCTTATAAGGCACATAAGCCCTGTGTTTGTGTGTTAACTTGGGAATATAGATTTGAGGTGCAGTGAGATGCACATGGTTGCCTTAATCAGTTTTCACAAATCCATCTACACCTGTATCAGCCAAGTGCACAACTAGGTGTAGCCTGTTACAGTTGATCTGAAAGCTTTGGAAAGTCTCACCTTTTAAGTCACTCGTTTTGTCTCCCCCACCAGAGACTGAGTTTTCCTGTCCGGAAGATCACATAAGCAGGGTCGTCGCATATAATGCAGTCTTTTGGGGAAGACCTTTTCCCCCCTCAGTCACTCAGCATATTTTTTTTGAGATTCATCCTTGTGAATGTTGCCCCCCCCATATTTGCGCAGTAGGCGCAGGCTCCAGTCTGCCACTGAATCATGTCCCCAGCTGAGGGCCTAACTGCTGCGTGGTTTTCCATAGCACGGATATGCCACAATCACTGCCCAGGGTCTTTTTTTCAGCTGCTTGTAGTTCCTGTTAATAGTCTCATAGAAGTCAGACTATGTGCCTTTATCTGCATTAGAGTAGTTCTGTTTACTTTTGAGGTTTGGTTTTTTTTTTTTTTTTTTTCTTGGTTTTGGGAGACAAGAAGAGCTTCTCTGTGACACAGCCCTGGCTGTCCTGGAACTCTCTCTTAGGCCAGCTGGCCTCCAGCTCATAGAGATCCACCTGCCTCTGCCTCCCTAGTGCTGGGATTAAAGGGCTGTGCCAAGGTGTCCTGCTTTTTTGTTTTTGTTTTATTTTGAGACAGTGTTTCATCATGTAGCCGCAGATGTCCTGGGACTTGCTTCATTGTCCAGGTTGGCTTCAAACTCAACAGATTGATCTGCTTCTGCCTCCCAAGTGCTGGGATTAAGAGCCTGCACCACCTGGTCCAGCCAGTTCTGTGTCTGTTTAGTTTTATAAGAAACAACCAACAGCATATGGATGTGTTTCTCATGTTCTGTGTTTTTGTTAATATTTGCTATGAACAGGTTTTTTATTGTAGCCATTTAATTAATGTGTAGCACTATTAAATTATGAAGCTCTTGAGTCTTATAAGACTTCCCAGTTTCCATCATCCTGACAACTTCCACATTTTATTTCAGGACATTAGAAATAATACAAATGAAAAAAAGTATGTGAAGATCTGTAAGATTTTTTTTTCTTTTTTGTAAGAGTGACACTAAAATTTTAAATTCCATGGAAGTTTATATTTTACTATGCTGTAACTAAAAATGATTTAACAGGTAAAAGTAAAGCTTTCCTAGAGTAACTTATTCTGATATTGCTTAATGTTTAAAGTTTTGTCTGTTTTCTGTGGAAACAGAAAATGTGATAAAAGTTAAAAGCTTACACCTGCACTACAAATTTGAAAGCACATCAAATTGCCGAGTGGGTAAGGGGTACACTTAGAAATGTACAAGAAAAAGATAAAGCGTAGATAGGGGCTGTATTTGTAAAATTCTATTTGTAGCATAAGACAAGGTCTACCATTTTGTAACTCAAAATTTTCTTCCAGAACTTAGTAGGTTTGATGTTTGCTGTAGACTAGAGTTTGTTCATGAGTAGTATTTGGTGGCAGTAGGATTTCCTTTAAAAATGCTTAGTGATTGTGAATGGAGCTGGGGTCATGTTCGGTGTTGGAGCGTGTGGTTCAGATATGGGAGGCCCTGGCTGAGCCCCCAGTGCCCCTGACATCTCAGATGGCAGCTGATGTTGGGAAATACTTTATTCTGAAAACTCTTAACCTGTGAGGGTGGGGAGGAAAAGAATAGTAGTGCAAGCTTACGCTGTTCGGCAAATCATATTTGTTTGTTTGGGGTTTTTTGGTTTGTTTGTTTCTGTTTCTCTATGTAGCCTGGCTATCCTGATTGGAACTCACTCTGTAGACCAGGCTGGCCTCAAATTGAGGCCTTCTGCCTCTGCTCCAGAGTGCTTGGATTACAGGTGTGTGACACCACCCACCCTGCTGGCAAATCACACTTAAAACGCCACCCACATGTGGCTCCTAGCATCAGGATGAGCATGGGACATGGGAGTTCTATACCCTCATGACTTAATGCCAGGGTTCTTTGTGACCTACAAGTACTGTAACCTACCTCATCAAAAAGGGCCCACCTTCAACAGTTATGCTCAAGTTCCCCTCCATTCCCTACACCCTCCTTTCTCTGAGAATCTTGGAATTCTCAAAGCTGCCTGTAAGAACTCATAAGTAGCAGGAAAAGGTCTCATACATAAAGCCACTACAAACATTCATGGGCTTATATAATCCCCACCCCCACAAAGAAACCCTATACTCTTCCTTGTTTTAGGTTGGGACTTTTTAAGGGTTTTTTTGTTTTTGTTTTTCAAGACAGGGTTTCTCTGTTAACAGTCCTGACTGTCCTGGAACTCATTCTGTAGACCAGGTTGGCCTCTAATTCACTGAGATCTGCCTGCCTCTGCCTCTGGAGCACTGGGATTAAAAGCTTAAAAGCTTGCACCACCATCGCCGCAGCCACCAGCATCCTTGTTTAGTTTTTGAAGCAAGTTTTCCCTGTAGAGCCCAGGCTGGCCTTCAACAAAGCATTTGTTTACTTTCCATATGTGTAATTTGTGTGTATGGCAATCAGAAAGGTAATGTGTGGGTCCTAGGGATTGAAGTCATGGTACCAGGTGTGAAATCAAATACCTTCTGAACTATCTCAAAATTGCTCCAAGTATTTCCTATATATTATTGTTAGTAATATGCCACTGTATGGATGTGTATCGCATTTTATTTCTTCATCACCTATTGGACGTGTAAATTTGGTTTTTTGGGGTTTTTTTGTGAATAATGTCTCTGTGAACACTCATTCTACATGTGCTTTTATTGTAGCCATAAGATTTCGTTTTTCTTGGGTATAGACCTGGAAGTGGAGTTGCTGGGTCACACAGTGACTGTATGTTTGGCTCTCTGGGAAATTGCCAAAGTATTTTCTGAACAGGCTGTTTCAATTACTACTTTCTCATTGACACTTGCTATTGTCCGTCTTTGATTATAACTGTCCTAGAGGCTGTTGAGTGCCACTAAGATGTTGTTAATTATTACTAATACCCTTTTAGGATGGCTATGTCATAGTAATTTTGAGATGTTGTGGTTTGTTTTTGTTTGGGTTTTGTTTTGTTTTTTGAGACAGGGTCTCTCTGGGTAGCCCTGCCTGTCCTCAAACTCACAGAGATCTGCCTGCCTCTACTTCCCAAGTACCAGGATTAAAGGTGTGCACCACCACCGATGGGCTAGAGATGTGGGGTTTTTTTGTTTTGTTTTGTTTTGTTTTGTTTTTGTTTTAAATGTCACAAATTATTTTTGGCAGGTTTTGAGATTATGGATTAGTTGCAACACACTGGAAAAACCAGCTGTCACTTGTTGAAGTGATTTTCAACATTGACTGGCTCGATGGTCCGGTGGTTAAGGACTTGTCAGTCCTGGCAGCCACAGTTTTGAGTTCCAGCTTTGTGTGGTGGAAGGAGAGAGCTGACTCAGGTTGTTCTCTGATCTCCACTGTGCATCTTGTCCTGTGTGTTCTCCTCCCCACAGCCTTGTGAGTATAGAAACAATTTAAAACAGTGCCAAAAAAAAAAAAAAAAACAAAAAAAAAACAGCTTTAATGTGTGGATGTTTTGTGCATGTACGTCGATGTACTACATGTGCCTGGTGGCTGTGGGGGCCAGAAAAGGGTGTTGGATACTCTAGGACTGGAGTTGGGATGGTTGTGAACAGCTATATGGGTCCTGAGAACCCAGATCCCCGTAAAACAGCCCTTGCTCTCAACACTGAGCTCTCTTGGTCACCTGGGTACAACTTTCTCTACTAGAAAATTGCAGCCTTTTCTGAAGACTAGTAATATGGAAAGAGTTTTTGAATTGACATTTTAGATTTTAGTTTCAATTTCCAGTATAATACCAGTAGATGAGATGTGCATAAACAGCTCTTGGGTGAAAT